GACTTTCCCCACAGAACGTTCTAAATTTATAAGATACACAATCGGTGAAATGCATACGCTCACTTTATTTTCTCCATACCATATTTTTTGTTCAAAATCACATCTACAACTCGCGCCGTATCGCCGTATCAAAATAAGTGGCTACGTTCTGTCTGAAGCCGCTCCGCACCAACATGGCGGACCGCCGGCCTCGGCGCGGCGCGGCGCGGAGTTTATACAGCTATTTTAGTTACTCCAGACAAGGAAAAACACAAACTATTACTGGAGATACTACAAAAGAAAGTGCAGATTAGGACATGTAGTGTTCCTTCCTTTATTTGTAGAATGGATGGCTGAACGAGTCCCGCGATCGGCCGGTCAGCGACGGGCGATGCACGAACTTGCCGATAATTCGATGTTTTCGTAAACTCAGCCAGTCATAAAAACTCAACCACTACAAAATATGATTCTTGAACTATTTTTTGAGTGGGTTATTACTACCTGTCCACATAATTTGTTGATATAGATACAGTAAAGACAGCCGTTCTTGGTGCCCCATATAGCACCCTATGACGGCCGTCATGGTGTGTTCCCTGTGCACGTCAAAGCCACGTTATAGCGTGTCACTCAGCACGCTTACATACCTGCCTGGCCCCAACCCTAACCCTAACCCTGGCCACTATCCTAGCCCTGGCCCCAACCCTAGCCCTGGCCACTACCCTAACCCGAACCCGAACCATGAATGTCTCTAACAGCACTCATCGCAGCAGGCAGAGAGTAAGTCTCACATGTACAAACGTACACTACCAAATAGGCATGATTGCAGGGACTATGCATGCATGTCTGGATATTATAATTATGTAGTAGAGTGGCTTCATTCTTCAACCAACATCTAGCATACACATGTACACACAGTCATCCCTCAGTAAGACATCTGGAGCCACATAGCTCCCGTGTAGAACTTAAGCTCACACAACCGGTTTTCCCCTTTGGGCTTCTTCAAGTGTACAGAGGCTAAATGACACAAGTTCATGAAGTTCATGAAACTCTTTTAATGAAATTCTAACCCGTTAGTAACAATGTCCAGGTTAATTATAACGGGAATGGTACTGTACTAACCCTGGGATGTCTGTTGCAGTCACAGGAACGTAGCTGTGAGGAAATGCACAGCACAGTACCTGGTGACGATCGTCGAGCGGATGGGCACGGGACGCGTCATGTCAGGCATCAAGGACGTCACGGACAAAGTCCTGCCCACGGCCACCATGTTCGCGTGTGACAGCTCCGGAGAGATCAGGTACGTGCATGGAGAGGCTGAAAAAAAAGCAGTTAAATCAGGCCTCGAAATTAACGGTGTCCTGATGGCCAGTGACACTAGAATTTAAGCTGGGACAACTAATAAATGCAATTTGGGGCATTTTGGGGACAATAGATAAAATTAATAATCAACATCAGAATATCAGCCCTTCTTTTGTTTGGCTCCGGAAAAAGCTCCCCAAAATTTTCTATTTACTCTGCAATTATAGCGTGCATGGAAGTCAGAACGTAACCTAAATAAAGTTAACTTCAAGTTCACGTCCTGAAAAACAGGTTGGGACAGTTCACCCTCTCTTCGGGACAATTGAAATTTATTTTCGAGACAGTGTTGGGGCAATTATAGGAAAAAATATTGATTTGGAGCCCTGTAAATGTGCAGTAATTGTTACTGTTATATCTATGGGATCAGCCGTTGGTGAAGTCAGAACTTTCTGCTACTTTCACTCCTCTTTTTTGAGTTTGCGATTTTCTTGCGTGATTCTAGTCTTCAAACTTTTGCTTTTGTTACGAATAAGGTTCCGGGCTTTTCAAAACTTAAGTCTTTTAACTATATTTACATAATATTCATTTCTTCTTTCCTTCAGATTTTGCTTTCTTTCAATTCCTTTCCATCTGCGTTACTGACCCTTGCCTTTCTTGTCAGCTCTCCTCTTGTTTTGTCTCTGTTTGTCCCTGTGGAAGGTGAGAATTTGCTCTTATGGTAATAATTAGAAATATTGATTGCTGATTGTTACTTCTGTTTGACTCCTGTATTAACCCATGTAGCCTTCTGTAAAGCATGGAAATGTTTTTCCTTGTGATGTTGGGAGTGTATAATATGATATGGTCACAGGACCAGGGAAATGTTTCTCTTGACTGTTCAGGGCTCGAAATACTGGGTGCATGTGCACCTTGGTGCAACCAAAATTGGAGTTGTGCACCCAACTTTTTTCTGTGGGTGCACCAGTGCACCCAAATATTTTCGAAGATTTACATGTAAAGTTATTAAATGTATATTCCTGACATCTAAGTTTCAGAAAAGTAATGAAATCTTTGTTTATTAAGATTATTTTATGAATTATAATATAAAATATGCACCCAAAAAGTGCACCTATTCCCCAAAATGAATTTTGAGCCCTGCTGCATCTTTCACTGAGCACTTTTATGATTCAATGTTGAGAGTTGTTCTGTAACTCCAGTATCTTCTAACACTGTGCCCCCCTCCCGCAGGTACTATGGTAAGAAGGTCCTGTACCAGCTAACACTGTGCCCCCCTCCCGCAGGTACTATGGTAAGAAGGTCCTGTACCAGCTAACACTGTGCCCCCCTCCCGCAGGTACTACGGTAAGAAGGTCCTGTACCAGCTGATGTCTCATGAAGATTTTGACAAGCTCCTGGTGAAACACGTGGCACCGAAACACCTGAAGGACGTACAGAACAAAGTGGAGGAACTCAGGCAGAGGGTGAGATCATGTTTTAACATCCTGGGTTGTGTTATTGTTTTGGAAATATCTTACAGTTGTTTTTTATGTGCCATCACTACCAACTGGTCCTCCCGCTAGTGCACTTTGTCATGCTTATTGATTTTTGTATAGTTCTTTTTTTTATCTAGACTACATTTTATGATATGTAAATAGTTGTATTTGCACATTGTGAATGTTGCCAACATCTGCTTGATGATACTAAGTATTTCACTCCATCTCCCTCCCCATTCCAAAAACAAGTAATAGAGTCACTTTTAGCAGTATAATCTAAACCAGGATAGTTAGTGAGTGCATAGTGAGTGACTTTTAGACATGATGCTTGTTGACTGCAGACTGTGAGACCAGGCTTTAACCTCCTGGCACTTTCTTATAGAAATGTTATAGAGTTGCTCTTGATACTTGATGGTCGATCAGAAACAGGATTCTGTACTTTAACCCCTGCGTGTTGGCTCCAGGGTCTGGGAGAGATGCCAACAGACATAAATTTCAACTGGGATGTGTTCTGGAAATGTTGGGAATCGTGTTATGGAAAGGGCGTAGAGTTGCTCTTTATAGTCAGAAACAGGATTCTGTATTTTAACCCCTGCGTGTTGTCTGCAGGGTCTGGGAGAGATGCCGACAGACACGCCGTCCGCTCGACACAGAAGGGCAGAAAGCGGCGGGTCACGGGCGAAATCTGGGTCAAGAGACAGCATCAACTCTCCCAGCAGGTAGGCCACTTGTCTTGCCAGGAAATCTACAGCTTCAGTCAGTCACTCTCTGCAGGTCTGGCTGTGCAGCTTCAGTCAGTAACTCTCTGCAGGTCTGGCTGTGCAGTGCCTCTTGTGGCTGGTACAGGTCTATGGGTAAAGTGTATCAATTATATGACCATTGTACATTAACAATAGCAACAGATTTTATGAAAATGTCAGTGCAAATAAGCAGTTTAGAAGTTATGTAGATGGGTACCGAGGAGAGGATAAAGACTTATCTAACAATTATAGATACACTATTTTGAAAAACTAACTTGTTTATAGCTAAGGCTGTAGATCCTCTTTTTTTAATCCTACGGTATAATGGATCAGGCTGGTATTCTGTTTTGTTGTTTGTATCTGGGCCTATGACCTCGTGATTCAGTCAAACAAAATTGTTGACGGCAATGTGGCTTTGGTATGTCTGTTTTTCTAACCCCCGTGTCTCTGCCAGCACCCTGTCCACACCGACGTCCTCGGCGAAGAAGAAGTCTCCGCGCGGCGCCGACACGGGTCTGGAGGAGTGTAAGGAGCTGTTTGGGCTGCTGGACGCGCGGGACTGGCAGCAGCGCAGCCAGGGCATCCAGCAGCTGGCAGACATGTGTGCCGCCGGGCACCCAGCCGTCTTCAACAACCTGGTCAAGGTACGGGCTCAAGCACTCACACACTCACACACTCACTCTCTCTCACACACTCACACACACACACTCTCACACAATCACGCACGCACTACTGTACATGGTGGGAGCCAGGGCATCCAGCAGCTGGCTGACATGTGTGCTGCCGGGCATCCAGCAGTCTTCAACAACCTGGTCAAGGTACGGGCTCACTCACACATGCACTCACGCACTCACTCTCTCACTCACTCACTCACTCACTCACTCACTCACTCACTCACTCACTCACTCACTCACTCACTCACTCACTCACTCACTCACTCACTCTCTCTCACACACACACACACTCTCACACAATCACTCACACAATCACTCACTCACTACTGTACATGGTGGCAGCCAGGGCATCCAGCAGCTGGCTGACATGTGTGCCACCGGGCATCCAGCCGTCTTCAACAACCTGGTCAAGGTACGGGCTCAAGCACTCACGCACTCACTCACTATCCGGTTTATCCTCTGTTGTTCCCCATCATCCGAGGGTTAGACGTGCTTCTGAGCACACTGGTCCTCAGGCATATGTGCTGCTGGGCATCCCGCAACAATCTGGTCAAGGTACTAGAGCTAGCTAACACTGTACTGTTCTTGGTTGTTTGGAGTTGAGCCTTCAAGTATACAGGAGGGGGGGGCTTGGATTTCCTTTACTGCCACATTCACCTCTAGTAACATTACAAGCTGCTCCAAGTGGGACCCAAGACTCCTTCCTCCCATATGTCCTCCGCAGGTGTTCGACAGGCTTGTTCCCAGACTAGTAAACATGTACAAACAGCCGTCGACTCTCTCACACACCCCAATTGTGACTCATTCCTCCCGTTTGTCTCGGCAGGTGTTTGACCGGTCTGTCCCCAGACTAACTCCTTCCTCCCGTTTGCAGGTGTTTGACCGGTTTGTCCCCAGACTAACGGACAACAACACGAAGGTGAACCTGTTTGCGCTGCAAGCCGTGCGTGACATTATCCGGCAGGTGGGGCCGTACGTGGACTCCACGATCGTGAACGCGCTCGTGCCGCAGCTGGTCGGAAATCTCGCCTCCAAGAACCAGCAGATCTACAACGCCACGAAGGAGGCGCTCAGCTCTGTGGTGCAGTGTGTAGGTGGGTGGATATGAAAGAATGGTTTCAAACTTTATAAAAAATATTGTGTTTCCTGACCGACCCTAGAAATACTGCCGACCCGTAACTTACCGGTATTTGTGTGAACCCCTGCAAGGGAGATAAACTTTTTGGGCTGAAGTAAAGTACAAGTTAAAGACAATAAAGAATATATCCATATTGTGAAATGGAGGCCACAAGAATGAAGACAGTGACTGCTTTTATCCTTATCTATCTTGCATATCCTACATCTTACCGTCTTACCGGTCCCTTGACCGCGGGTGGTCGTGGGGGCACCTAGTGGCTGAGCACACTGCCTTGATATCCTACATGCATGGTGCTATATGTATGTTTCATTCTTGCAGTGTGTACTGAAATATCTTTCTATGGTACATAACTTTACCATCTATATACTTTAATGATGGAGGTTGTAAAAAGTGAGGGACCTTGTCTTTGCTCACCATTCACCCCAGGCATATTTTTCTACTGTTGTATGCAACTAGGAATGAAGTACCAGTCAAGTATCAATGTTTGTTTAAAGTTAAAACTTTCGATCGAACACAAAAAATTGTCTCACCTAGAGTTTTCGACCAGTCACTCTGGTCTTCCTCAGTAGACTGAGCCAGTGTTGACATCACACTTCAAAGAAGCCACGTGACAAGCCTCACTGGGTCAGTCTAGAGTGACTGGTCGAAAGCTCTAGGTGAGAGAATATTTTGTGTTGGATCAAAAGTTTTAACTTTAAGCATGTAACCACCAACACAGATGAACTTTGATGATAGTATAAGTATCAATGTTGTTTCTCTGCTGTTGCAGACAAAAGCCTGTTGCTCCAGCCGTTTGCCAACGCCGCTCAGTACGGAAACGCTCGCGTCAAGCCGGACATGATCGACAAACTCTCAGGTGAGGACGGGTCCCTTTTCTTATCAAGATTTGAACTTTATTGTTTGTATGCATATATTGTCCCTGATGATTGTCCCTGTATAAATACCTTTTACTTGTTCCAGGTAGGTCTATGACTGTAATATTGTTACTGATTTTATAATTTCCTGAAGTTTTTTATAGACTAATAAGTTAACAATTGTATGACTGTTGTGTTGGTCATAGTTTTAGATAATAACATTGTGCAACTTGTAGTAACTGTTATATTTGCCTAATCCAGCATGTGGGCTGCCAGTTGTGTACTTGCAATAAACCAAACTATAAAATATTACAACTGTTACAGACTGGCTTGTTTCTGCCCCTGTATTTTAACACCAGCACCTCGCTTTGTTGTTCCTCCCTCAGACCTTGTGCTGGAGATCTACTCGCGGAAGCAGCAGTCGGTGATTCGGCACATCCTGCCGGTCCTGTGGCACCTTCTGGGGAACACGACCAGCAGCGGCGCGCTGCCCGGCGGCACCGGAAACATCCGCGACGCAACGAACCGCCTCGCCAACGCGCTGCACATGCAGATGGGAGACGCACTGCTGGAGTTCGCCAGCAGCCTCACGCAGAGAAACCTGCAGACGCTCAAGGACATGCTGGCCAACCCTGTACAACAATGACAGCATGACATGCTGGCCAACCCTGTACAGCAATGACAGCATGACATGCTGGCCAACCCTGTACAGCAATGACAGCATGACATGCTGGCCAACCCTGCACTGTTGTAAAGTTGTGTTCTTGATGTAATAATATGTCAGTGTCGTAAACTTGTGAAACAAAAACTGTCAACATATCAGTCAGCTTGTACAGATGGTCGGTTTTGAGTACTGAGTACTACGTAAAGGTTTGCCTACTGACCAAACAGAGTTATTGGATTGCACCACAAAGTGTTTGACTGTATCAAGATTTAATGTTCATAAGAAACTTTATGGTGACATAAGAATCTAGTCAACTTGTGTGACATACAGCTGGGTGCAGTACCGGAGATGGCTGATAGGGGGCACCCAAGTGCCTTCAGAGAGTTGAATCCCAGGAAGTGACTTGAGCTGCGAGACTAACAGTGAACGCACGGCTGATGCCTTTACTCAGTCCAGAAGCACGAATGTATTTCCTCGGTGTCCGTATTTTGTAGACTTTGTGCATATCAAATAATGAGACTTACCGGTAGAAATGATGCAGGAAAGCAGGCATGACACCAGTAGTACACACATGTATGCACCGGATGCGTGCAGTCCTTTTCATGCTCTGTACCCGTCCTGTGCCCTGCTTTACTGTACGAGAGCCGAGGAAATGGATTGTTGTGGCCTCGTGGCCTGTGAAATGCTGCTGTCAAAGGGACCAATAGGGTTTGTTAGGTCTCCATGCTGCGAGACTGGACTCTGGATTCTGCCACGATTGGCTGGTTTAAACCATGACTCTGCCGTGATTGGCTGGTTTAAGCCGTGACTCTGCTGCGATTGGCCGGTTAAACCGTAATTGCTATGATTGGCTGTTTAACCCGTCCTCCCGTCACACATCCTGTGATCTGTATTTTTGGTCAGCTCCCATGTTCCAAAGGTGTATAGCCAATAGGGGTATTTTTTGTGGTGAACCGTGAAAATAGAAGATATTAGATACCAAAATGTACAAACCAAAACATGCACTTCTATATAGAGATATTAAAGGCCCACTATAGTGCATGTAACGTAACTTAGAGTAGCTAGGTAGTTTTCTACTTGTGGCTGTTATTTTTGTATAATTTGTCCATGTACAGTGTACAATTGGGCTGTACAGAGAATATAGTGTGTAACAGAATAAGCCGTCCCAACCTGTATCTTGTATATAGTAGGTTTGAGAGTTATTGGTGTGAGGGGCTCATTGCTGCTTATGTTCCTTTGCATTTCGCTTGTTCACGTGGGGAAGTTTCAGGTGCAGTTTGGTCGTCACTTGGTGTGCGTGATCTATTACTATAATTGTAACAGCTCTTATGCTGCATGACTCTGTGGATGGGGAGTTCGCATGTGTGCTGCACACTTTATGGTAGGCTTCTCAAGTTGCATTTCATCTTATTATCTGTAAAGCAACAAAGCTCCAGAACTCTGGAGCTCATCTTAGTACGGTTTGTAGCTTTTATCAACCACGATAGGTGCCATTGCACATTTTTCACACTTGGCCAGTTTGTTACCTTTAAGTTTTAGAAGCAAAGAATGTTGTTGGCCTGAAATCCCAGTTGTTGCCTTGTATGTGGTATGAAATGACATCCCTGTTACCGAGTGTTTCTTGTAACCTTCCACGTCGAGATGGTGTGGGGGGGGGGGATGCAGAGAGGTGAACATTACTAGACTTAAGCAGACTAACAGTGAAATTTTCAGCTATTCCAGTTTTACCTTGGTGTATCTTTTTACAACAGTGAGGGGCCCTTCCCTCACTCCTGACTAGACTGTTTTTAGGTGACTGTCTTGTTTTGACTGTGCGTTTAGCCACTGCCAGACCCAGTCTGGAGCCAACTACACACATATCGTAGCCAGAATAACATATCAAATACGTGTGTATGAAGTTACACAGGTGAAGCATTCCCTGCTTGTAGAGCAAGTTTTGTTGAAGAGTGAAGCCCAGTCTGAGTCTGGCAGTGGCGGTGGCAGATAGAGTAAACCCTCTTGTGTATAGCAGTAGTGTAAGCTGTTTGGCTTTGTTGATATCATTGCCTGTAAATAGAGTAGAGTATATCCCAATCTGAATGTCAAACCTCTGTGTACAGGATGAGCTTGAAATGTTGTGAAACTCTTGAGAGTTCTCCCAAGAGTTGTATTGTTTAAATATATGATTATTATAGTGATTTTAAGTTTTTGATGAACTTCCGTCCATGATTTCACTGGTGCATGCCATAGTGATGCAGCCATGCCTCCGCTCCCGGGAACAGGGTTCGGCAACCCATGGAAACAACATCACTAGAACACAGTTACTGTATCAAATACTGCTCTGGCCTACCAAAATCTGTTAATAACTCAGTCTTCAGACTCCATTTTTAACTACTGTGTTCAGCCACACGTATAAACTTATTTTTCAAAATGGTATTTTAAGAAAGTTGGTTTGTAAAAACTTTCACAGTTCCTAGAACAGTATCCAGTCCGGAAAAGTTCCTACACATCCACAAAGGTTGCAGAGTAATCTGTATTGTTTTCTGTATTTCCGACTTGTGCCTGTTGTTCCCTGTTCCCGGAGCTTGTGGGCGAAACGTTGAGCTGTTGTGTCTGTGTGTTGACGAGGCGGCCGCCGTGCCTTGCCTTGTGTCCGTGCACACGGCTGAAGCCCCCGTGCCAGTTGCTGTAAGGTATGGCTCATTTGGTCATTAAACACTGAGAAGCACACTTCTGCCTCAGACTCTTCTTTAATATATAGCATAGCATAGCAACAACCTATAATGTTTAGAGTTAAAACTAAATCCAACACAAGAAGTTCTTTCACCTTGAGCTTTCCTCAGTAGACTGACCCAGTGAGGCTTGTCATGTGGCATCTCTGAAGTGTGCCGTCAACACTGGGTCAAAGGTATCTGGTAGACGATGTCGGCCCCCGTCACGGTTAAGTGAAGGGTGATGGGTGTTGGATCAAAAGTTTGAACTCTAAACATGTAACTACCAAGTTGAACATAGATGAACTTTCATGATAACAACCTAATATAATTTTTACATTTTACACCCCTATACAGAGGAAAGGAATGTGTTTTATGGTGTCCAGAAGATGTCATCAAATTTGGTACTGGGATTGAGTGCAAAGATGCAGTAAGACTTTTCTTCACTTTTATTTACATTTCTTACTGGCACTAGACAAACTTGGAGTATTATGCTATCACGAGTGTTTGTTGCCACAGAGTAGCCCCAAAATGTCTTGTCTGGCTCAGACAATCTGCAATACTGTTAGCATGCCATTGATATGAGTAGGTCTGGTACATCGATGAAGGTTAGACATCCAGGTAACACGATATGCCAAAAAGCAGTTACTCAAACAACTAGATATGATTTAATTTGAAAATCATAAAAATCATATCCAGTTGTTTGAGTAACTGCTTTTTGGCAAAACGTTTGGTACAAAATGTACTTATTTTTTATGGGAGACATGGCTATGTACAGCACGAGTTTACACCTCTGACCATTTGCTCTGACAAACTGTTGGCAAACGGAGCATTTTGCCTCCACATGAGACTAAACTGGACCAAAGAAAATATATACATCGGTTCTCAGAACAGGAATAATTAGAGGTTTCCATCCTTGTGAAATCCAGCTTTACCAGTACAATAGCAGAATGCACTGTGCCTGACCAGTACGTAATGTCCATAGGTCATGTTTGTGTATTGAAGGTGATATTCCATCTGTAGTTTTCAAGTGCTGTGCCTGTAATGGGCAAAAGTTGATGGAACGTCGACCAAACATCCAACAGAAACTGGTTTAGCACAGGTGCCGTACGCTCAGCCACTGTGATTGTTCTACCCTAAGACCTAGGAAAAAATTGTGTTTCCTGTTTCAGTCCTGAAAAAGTTAGGGTCCGTAGGTAAGGATTATCTTTTTTTTTTTAATTTCGTTTTTTAAATTCTACGTTTATTAAAATTTGGCAAGAGTGATTGAACTTGCAAGACGACACATAATAATAACTCAAAATTTGACAAAATTTTCGACTGAATCGCTCAGTCTTCCTCAGCTATCTGACCCAAATGCTGTGGACACGTGATTTTTTTTCTCACGTGTGATGTCAGCAAAGGGTCAAAGGTTGTCTGCAGTCGATATCGCCCCCCGTCCCGGTTGAGCGATGGTTGAAGTGCCCTGATGTGTATGGCCTTTTTATGCCTCAGTCTTTGATTCAGTCGAAAATTTCTGGTGAGTCAAATTTTGAGTTGGAGAACAGTTTAAGTTTTTCATAATGTAATTTTATACCAACTCAGATGAACTTTCATGCTGGTGCCTGTTTCTTGTTTGTTTGTTTCTGCGCTAACTGAAGAGCGCCAGCTGTAGTATAGGATGTGCCTGTTCCTGTTTGTTTGTGCGCTAACTGAAGAGCGCCAGCTGTAGTATAGGATGTGCCTGTTCCTGTTTGTTTCTGTGCTAACTGAAGAGCGCCAGCTTTAGTATAGGATGTGCCTGTTATGCCAAAAAACAGTTACTCAAGCAACTGGATATGATTTTGAAAACGTCAGACGTTTCAGCTAGTATCCACTAGCTTTCGTCAGTGACTGAGAGACCAGAGGGGAAAGCAGGTTTATATACACAACCTGTTGATTGATATGCAAATAAATTGAAGACAAATTTTTGGAAGTCGAAGAAGGAACAAAAGTCAGACAAGTCAAGACAAGATGATGCAAATTAGTCTGAAAGCTCCTGTTATACAGGACAGGAGCTTAAGTGTTGTCTGTCCTCGGGGCTGGGAGTGCCAAATCCCAAGTGCCGGAAAGATCGACCCGTAGCCCCCCTTCCCTGTTGAGGGTGGGGTTGTACATTCTTTCATATATTGCCTCTTTAACACCCCGTTCCCACCAGCGTGTTTCGCGGTCTAAGACATCCGTGGACTCGAGTTTGAAAGAGTGACCCTGGTTGTGTTGTAGGTGGTGGAAAATAGCTGAGGAGTAGCCGTTGGCACTAGGTCGGCAATGTTCTTTGTACCTTACTTTAAGCGGTCGACTTGTCTCTCCGATGTAGGTGTTGTTACAATTGGGCTCCTCACATTTGAGTCTGTAAATAACATTCGCCTTGGTACCCTTGTGAGGTCGGTCCTTAGGGTGTACCAGTCTTTGTCTGAGGGTTGAGTGAGGTTTGAAGTTAGTGGCTATGTTGAAGTTTTGGAAGATCCGTCGGAGTTTCTCAGATACTCCTTGGACATACGGAATAGTGATGTTGGCCTTGTTTTTGTTGGTCAATGGTTTGCACTTCTGGGTTTTCTTAGACTGATCTGAAGGTTTGAGCGCTTTGTTGAAAGTCCAGTTTTGGTAGCCACATTTAGCCAGGGCACCTCGGAGGTGTCTTTGTTCGTCCGTTTTGGCTTGGTCTGAAGTGACAATGTTGTCTGCACGATGGAAGAGAGTTTTGATCACTGCTAGTTTGTGTTCCAAAGGGTGGTGGGAATCAAAAGCCAGGTACTGATCAGTGTGGGTTGGTTTCCTGTACACTTCGAAACGAAGGTTACCTGCACCAAGTGTCATCTACATATCGAAACCAGTTGGCCGGGGGAGTGTCATTGAAAGTGCTGAGGGCTTTGTTTTCAAACTTCTCCATGTACAGGATCTCCGACGGATCTTCCAAAACTTCAACATAGCCACTAACTTCAAACCTCACTCAACCCTCAGACAAAGACTGGTACACCCTAAGGACCGACCTCACAAGGGTACCAAGGCGAATGTTATTTACAGACTCAAATGTGAGGAGCCCAATTGTAACAACACCTACATCGGAGAGACAAGTCGACCGCTTAAAGTAAGGTACAAAGAACATTGCCGACCTAGTGCCAACGGCTACTCCTCAGCTATTTTCCACCACCTACAACACAACCAGGGTCACTCTTTCAAACTCGAGTCCACGGATGTCTTAGACCGCGAAACACGCTGGTGGGAACGAGGTGTTAAAGAGGCAATAGGAACCTGGATGTCTAACCTTCATCGACGATGTGCCTGTTAGGATGTTTAGGATAGGATGTTTAGTATAGATCGAGTTGAAATAAAGGCTCAAACAAACAATGTGCCTGTTCCTGTTTGTTTGTTTGTTTGTTTGTTTCTGCGCTAACTGAAGAGAGCCAGCTTTAGTATAGGATGTGCCTGTTCCTGTTTGTTTGTTTGTTTGTACGCTAACTGAAGAGAGCCAGCTGCAGGAGAGGAACCAGTTTCAGCGTGGTCAGGTCCGACAGAACCGCCTCCGCCGCCGCGTAGGACGACACTTCCAGCAGGTTCGTCCGGCGGAACGAGAAGATGGCGAACGCCAGCACGGACAGGATCTCGAGCGAGTCGAATCCGAGCACGCGGTCCCACAGCAGCAGCAGCTGGTCGCTGCCCAGGAACCCCGCAAACGCCCGCATCAGCCACTTAAAGGCAATCTTCAGCGGCGGGGCACCCACGCCCTGGAAGGAAGGAAGGAATTAATGAATGGTGCATTTCTGTAAAATATTGCAGCCGTCTGGCTGAAATATGTTTCGCTTACATACAACTCACTTCCACAGATAACTTAAGATATTACATAATAAAAGGAACAATATTAAAAAAGTACAAAAAGGACAATGAGTGTGTGTGTGTGTGTGTGAGTGCGCGCGTGCGTGTGTGTGTGTAAGAGTATGGTAGAAGAGCTCCGGCTCGTGTGTCTGTAGTAGAGACTCGAACAGCGCGCAGAGGGACATGATGCCCTGCGGGTGGGACGGCATGTGGTGTGTGTGCGCACGTGCGTGTGTGCGTGCGTGAGTGTGTGTGTGCGCGTGCTTGTGTGTGTGTGTAAGAGTCACCTTGAGGTGGTAGAACAGCTCCGGCTCATGTGTCTGTAGCAGAGACTCGAACAGCGCGCAGAGGGACACGATGCCCTGCGGGTGGGAGGACATGTGGTGCAGGTGGGAGAAGTAGCGCGTGTACATCTCCCGGAACACGAAGTAGAGCCGGGCCGGCTCGTCGTACACGAAGCACAGCGAGGCGCAGTACATGGTGAAGCCGTGGAAGGGGATCACGCCGCTGGGGGGGTACGTCACCTGCAGGGGGGGAATACTTTTTATGTTTACCGAAGGAAAACATATTGGTTTTGCTCTGTTTCAAAACCATTAAGGTCAATGACCTGAACCAGACGTCTATCACCATGGTAACTGGTGTGGGGTTATATCATGCAATTTCATAGCAGGAGGGATTTAGACTGCTGTCACCATATATGAATGTTTTTGAGTAAGAATTAACAGAGCAATATGCAATATTGCAGAATGTCAAAATTTTGTTCTGCAATTCGAAAATACTTTCTGCAAATACACCGACACTTAAAAGTCCAGATCTAAACCCATGGCATATACAAAATTGCATGTTGGCAAACATTGTACATGCAATTTGAACAATACAGCACATGCAAAAGTATTTGAATATTATAGAGTCAGTTACTGTAGTAAACAAATAAGCCCTAGTCTGGTCTGATTTTTTTCAGTCTGCAAAATTGCAGATTGCTTCATTTTTCTACTGCAATATTGAAACTGTCTCAGAGTCAGACTGCAGTTGGGTATTTCTAACACTGAAATGTGTTATAAAGAAAGAGACATTTGCAAAAGCTGCTCACAACACGTGCAGCTGTAGATAATAAGTTACATCATTATGCTGGTAGATTAGTACAGTGGCTTCCTACTGGGAGACGTAGAGTGGGACGTCCTTATACTACACTTTTGTCCATGTTAGAGAGAGACACTGGTCTCGCAGGGACTGCATTAGTGTCCACTATGAGAGATAGGACATACTGGAGTAACTTCATCAAGTGTACCTCACCAGATTAGTATAATCCGGAGGCATGATGATGATGATGCTAATCCTTACTGTGTATTATCTAATATATCTTAGCCTGACCTGGAACTCCTCCAGCCCGAGTTTTCCCCGGATGTATGACTTTGCCGGCGTCGCGCTCGTGTGGGCGAAACATCGCAGCACGGTCGTGTCACGCGAGAAGATCAGCAGGATCTGGGATAGAAATCATCACTCATAAATACTTTTACTGCACATGTATTATACATATAGGGCGATGTTTCAAAAGATGTTTAGATGCTAGAAATTCAGCACCTTTTCATCGATCATCCCATACAGCAGGATCTGGAATAGAAAATCATCACTCAATGTGACTCGTATACATGTATAATTGTACATATAGGGCGATGTTTGAAAGATGTCTAGACACTGGAAATTCCACCAGTAACTCTAAAAGTACTGTATTGGACTCTCTTGTGAGGAAGATTAGTCCCTTGTAAGGTATTTTGTATATTTGTTATGAAGCAGTAAGTGCCATACTTTGTACCATGTACAATCCTTGTCCAAGTTTATTATGTAGATGTTAATATAGCAAATCAGGCTGAGGATAACAAGATGTGAATCACTGTTTTCAACAATGGTATCCTGATTAAGGATGTACGGTTTTGTAAACAAATGAATGAATCTTTATTCAACTTGTAGACATTACAATTGCCTGAATTGCGTTGAATTTACAAAGTATAAAATATTAAGTTACTTATTAAAAGCATTAACAGTTATTTACATTAAAATACATTTGTCATAAAATCTTCTGGAATCATTTATACTAGTCGGAGTTGATGCATTCATATACATATAAAATAACTAGTACATAACTACATTGCGACATACTGTCGTGGTAAGTCAGTACAGAAATACACTGTGTTGTCGGATCAATGGGCTAATCCCTGATTTAGGAGATGTGTCAAGTAGGGAATAGGAGAGTTTTTGTTCGTCCGGCATAATGGAATACATAATGGTATAATGGTAACTACATGTAGATACAAAATCTACCTGGTGCAGCAGATCCTCGAACACGAAGTAGTAGTCGTCGTTCGCGGCCGTGAGTTTGACGTCCTTGTAGATGAGGCTGTCGATGAGAAGGTCGTGATGTATGACGTACGACTTCAGCTGCTGGTAGTACAGCTGGTCAACGCTGTCCACCTAGCGCGGGAGGGAAGGGACATGATTGGTCAACGCTGTCCACCTAGCGCGGGAGGGAAGGGACATGATTGGTCAATGTTGTCCACCTGGGTGAGGGAAGGGACATGATTGGTCAATGTTGTCTACTTAGCGCAGGAGGGAAGGGACATGATTGGTCAACGCTGTCCACCTAGCGTGGGAGGGAAGGGACATGATTGGTCAACGCTGTCCACCTAGCGCGGGAGGGAAGGGACATGATTGGTCAACGCTGTCCACCTAGCGCGGGAGGTCAACGTCAATGATTGGTCAACGTCAACCACTGTTAAGAGGGAAGGGACACAGCTGTACTTCACCAATGTTAAATCAACTGTAAACCATCTAAATGCTCTCCCTGCTTGCCCCATCCTTGCACACTTGCACTGCTAGACAGAAATGGGAGGAATAGAGAAACACCTTACCCATGGCCATATTTTGTGGCAAACAGAGACACTTCCTTAACCAATCCTAAACTTCAACCTCTGCTGCCTCCCATCTCTTCTTTATATCTCTTGTCTCAGGGATACAATAAGACCTTGACCCCCAGGATCTGTGCCCTTACCTTGACCCCCAGGATCTGTGCCCTTCTCACCTTGACCCCCAGGATCTGTGCCCTCACCTTGACCCCCAGGATCTGTGTCCTTACCTTGACCCCCAGGATCTGTGCCCTTACCTTGACCCCCAGGATCTGTGCCCTTCTCACCTTGACCCCCAGGATCTGTGTCCTCACCTTGACCCCCAGGATCTGTGCCCTCACCTTGACCCCCAGGATCTGTGCCCTCACCTTGACCCCCAGGATCTGTGCCCAGATGGCCCCCCGCAGCCCGGTGGGACAGCCTTTCTTGGCGTACTGCTGGGCCAGCGGGCTGTGCTCGGCCTCCAGAACGCGCCGGCCGAGCTTCGTCCGCTCCGAGGCGAACACGTCGGCGGGAATCTCGGGCGAGTCGTCTACGCCGGCCTGCGGCTCACTGATGGACAGCTCGCTGAAGTCTGCTTGCTGCATGTACATAAATACTAAATACAGAAAACAGTACTGACATCAACAACATTCACACTGCCTGGAGCTCACTGATGGACTGAAGTCTGCTTGCTTCAACAGGAGAACATGACATTACATTACATGACTCCCACAGAGTAGACACCTATGTTTCACTATCATGAACAACATCCACCTGGCCTGGGGTTCGCTCACTTAAGTCAGATTGCTTCATAAATAGAGAAATTTAAACATCACAGATCAAAAGCAGATGTTGTTGTAAGTTGTAACACAGACTCCCAGAGTATGCTGAATCTACAGCACTGACAACATCCACACTGCCTGGGTCTTACTGGTGGACAGTTGGGTTGGTTCAACAGGAACAGGAGAGATCACAAGTCACGCACGCTGTTGTCACAACAAACAGGCTCTCACAACATTGAACATTGTGATCACAGCTCAGGTACTGTGTAGGTTCTTTAGAACGTAATGCAGACATTCTACTTATTTTATTTTACATGGTGCACCAAAGTACCTTCAGGGAAAGGGGTGATGCTTTCAGCGTGATGTACGTTCAGCACCAGAGACAGGGACTGTAGAGTAAGTGTGTGTCACGCAGCCAATTTTTAGGTTCCCATTCCTATTCCCAAACATGAATTTTGAGCCCAGATATCAGTCTGCTCACCAGCTGTTTCCTAGTCTTGGTCCTGAGCGGCAGCTGCACAAGGCCCCATAGGTTACAGTGGCTGGCCTGCTCGCTCCAGTTGGAGTTGGGGTTTCTCAGGTTCACCAGGACCTGTACAGGAACAACAACACGTGTCACTAACACACACACGTGCGCACACACACACACGCACGCATGCACACGCGCGCACACACACACACACGTTACAGTGGCTGGCCTGCTCGCTCCAGTTGGAGTTGGGGTTTCCCAGGTTCACCAGGACCTGCACAGGAACAACAAACTAAGTACAAACTAAGGACTAACACAAACAAACTCACTCACTCACAGTCACAGAGGTTACAGAGGCTGTGCTTCACCTGGAGAAAGTCCTTGGGTGCGTAGACGGGTCTGAAGAGCAACAGGTCCAGACCTGTACCTAAACCGGTACCGGCACCTGATGTTATGTGTAGGTACATAGAAGACATACATGTAGAACACATAGCAAATTTCATTTATTTCGAAACCTTTTAGCCATGCAGGGCTAGTCTTCCAAGGCTCAAATACATGGAATACAGGCACTTCGAATTCGTTACATATATACATAGGAAATAGTGCATAAGATACAGTGCAAACGTTTAAAAAGACAAAAATACATCAAACATTTAAAGGAACGCACAAATGAATACTGACAATTTAAAAACTAGAGGTCGGCTTCATGTGACACTGTTTACTATGGCTTTCTTAAACTTGAGAAGGTTACTCAGTGTCTTGGCATGATAAGGTAGGTCGTTCCACAACGATATTGCACGATGCAGGAATGAGCGCTTCTTACTGTTCGTCTTAGGTTTGGGTAATCTAAAGTTGTACTGTGCAGCAGATCTGGTATTGTGAATGTGAGATACATGAACAGGCACAAGGGAGTTGTATATATACTGTGGTTCATGACTATTGACAATCTTAAAGAACATAACCAGGGTGCTAGAGGAGAATCTCTCACTCACAGTCAGCAAATACGTATGAAGCAAAATCCTGTGCTTCACCTCGAGAAAGTCCTTGGGCGCGTAGACAAGTCGGAAGTGCGAGAGGTCCAGACCTCTGTACCTGTACCTGTACCTGTACCTGATGCTACATGTATGTTTAGCCCTACGTAAAACACATAAGAATATGTAAGACTATATCTAAGAGAGCTGTGCGTCACCTCGAGAAAGTCCTTGGGGGCGTAGACGGGTCGGAAGTGCGAGAGGTCAGGTTCCTCGGTTCCGAGCTCGGACCAGCGCGAGAGCAGCTCCTTCTGCTCCTGCGGGGGTCGTCGTCGTGCCAACGGGACGCTCAGCTCCGTGCACATCGAGTTCAGACTCTTCAGGATACGCTTCTCCCACGCTGCCTGGGCCTGCAGGGGGGGGGGGAATTATCCCATCAGTCTAACACACCAAGAACTATTACCAGTCTACTAACTAGTACTACTACTACAACTAATTACACTGCGCTCTCATTGGTCATCCGTAATAACCTAATTAACCAACCCCATATAAGGCATGCGCGCCTTATCACTTCATCCATTTCTTCGGAGCCGTCCGCACCGCGAGGAGCAGCAGGCTAGGGTCGTAGTGAAGCCCTGAAGCCCAGCAGCTTTCCCGGTCCCCACGTGCAGAACTTCTTCGTTCAGCTAGCAAGTTTGCTCCAAGAAAAGGTTTGGGGTGCGGCGAGGGTAACATTTCTCTTTTACAAACGTTTTTCTGCATTTCTGAGTGCTCACCAGGTCTGTTTTAGTAACAGTACGTTCGGGGAGTTCGGGCGCACGTGGGGCCGCCGTCTCTTTGTTCTGACACGTTTTGTTTCTCGTTTGGGTTTTTAGAAGGGTGGGCTTCAGCATTTTGTTTTCTGAGTATTACTCAGGGAGGGCGACTCGAGTCAAGTTTTCCCAAAGCGCTCCACGACTTAGCCTACCTGCTTCGCGTGGCGGAGGCTTGCTCGGGTTGGGGAAATTTGGTCTGACGAACTTGTTCTGACATGCACGTTGTTGTTGTCGTCTTATAGTATGGATTCCAGCAACCAAGCCAAGCACCTCTGAAGCCGGAAGGAACCCACGCACAGTAGGACAACAACGAGACCAACCCGGGCAACGCAGAGTACAGCAAGTTCTCCCGGCCGAGGGACAAGTCCAGCCTCCAGCCCCCAGCAAAAGGCACCCCATTCCGGAGCAGCAGCCAGCAGGAAGAGCAACAGGACCCACAACTCAAGACCAGCCGACGCCGCGGGGCAGCGGCGAAGTTCAGTTCGAGCGTCGGAGCCGGGACAGCCTCAAGCGGCAGGCGACCGGCTCTGGCCCCGGCAAGACTTGCAGCATCGTCTCTTCGCTGACGTGGTTTACTGTGGTTAGCCATTTGTTTCGTTGCTGCTGTATTGTTGATTTGGAATTTCTCGGATTTCGATGCGGTTTGTGATAACCAGCTTTCGTGTAGCTTGGTGTAAAGTTTGGGCATTTAGAACCGGGACTGCCGGTGTTGTGCTTGTTCTGGTTTCTAATGCTAATAATGGTTGTCTGTGATTTGGAACGCACGTGCAGGAGCATTGCACGTGGCGCCAATCTCTTTCGTATGCAAATTTTGGCTATGCGCAAGGGGCGTGAAGGCCGAAATCAGTGCGGATATTCACAAGATTGTACTGCAACATGGCGGTGCAACGAGGTGACAAGGTGGTCACTGAGTGAATGTTTAGCGCAAAGAGTTTGTGGCTATTCACAACATTGTACTGCAACATGGCGGTGCAACGAGGTGACAAGGTGGTCACTGAGTGAATGTTTAGCACAAAGAGTTTGAGAATATTCACTACACTGTACGGTAACATGGCGGTACAACAGGGTGACAAGGTGGTCACCGAGTGAATGTTTAGCGCAAAGAGTTTGTGGCTATTCACTAGATTGTACTGCAACTCGGCGGTACAACGAGGTGACAAGGTGGTCACCGAGTGAATGTTTAGCGCGAAGAGTTTGTGGATTCACTAGATCGTACTGCAACTCGGCGGTACAACGAAGTGACAAGGTGGTCACCGAGTGAATGTTTAGCGCAAAGAGTTTGTGGCTATTCACTAGATTGTACTGCAACTCGGCGGTACAACGAGGTACTAGGTGACAAGGTGGTCACCGAGAGAATGTTTAGCACAGAGAGTTTGAGGATATTCACGAGATTGTACTGCAACACGGCGGTACAACGAAGTGACAAGGTGGTAACTGAGTGAAGGTTTAGCACAAAGACTTGAAAGAGCTTGAGGATATTCACTAGATTGTACTGTAACACGGCAGTTCAAAGAGGCGACAAGGTGGTCACTGGGTGAAGACTTAGTACAAGGACTTGCGCCCGGATATTCACTACATTGTCCTGTAACATGACGGTGCAACGAGGTGACAAGATGGTCTCTAGGTGAAGACTTAGCACACACAAAGGGAGTGGGGAGTGTGGATATCCACTAGACTGTACTGTAACACGGCGGTGTAACGAAGTGACAAGATGGTCACCTAGTGAAAATTAGCGCAAAGAGTTTGCGCTAGAGGTTGTACTGTAACATGGCGATGCAACGAGGTGATGAGATGGTCACCAGGTGAAGACGTAGCGCACACAAAGGGTTTGTGGATATTTACTAGATTGTAATGCAATTTGACGGTGTAACGAGGTGACAAGATGATCACCGGGTGAACACGTACAATGTACTTTCAAACACACAGGGTGTGCGGATATTCACATGATGTACCATAACATGGCGGTGCAACGAGGTGACAAGGTCACGGTGACAAGGTGGTCTCCAGGTGGAGATTTAGCATACAGGGTGTGCGGATATTCACGAGATTTTTCAGTAACCGTTGGTACAACGAGGTGACAAGCTGGTCACCAGATAAACGCTAGAGATCGATGGCAATCAATATCAAGTATGTACCAGTTATCCATAGCGTTAGCGAGGGCGCTGGTTTTGACGCTGGAGCCATGGACGCAATCCGCAGAAGTGATGGGCGAGAGTCCTTTCAAGGTCAGAGTTTAAAAGTGATGTTGGCCGCGTTAATTTAACATGATGCATCATCACAAGAATAAACACGTCGTGAGTGTGTTTGGTTAGTAGAGATCTCATAAAAGGTTGCGTCATGTGGTTTTGGGCACGCTAGCGGGTTTGCACCGCTTATCTTCCTTATCTTTGCAACCGCGTTTTGTGAGTTAAGTGGTGGACAGCCCAGCGATAGGACACGTGAGGAGCGTAACTGGATTTACGTCGCCCATGCAATGACAGTCTGTGTTCTCAGTTTCTATTCATGGGCTTGTGGAGTCGTTCGTCCGTCAGGTTGACGAGGACCGCTTGTAAACCATGGGCTTGTAAAGCACTAGTGAAAACACGTAGTGATATTAGGTCGAGAAGTAGGCTACATCGGATGAGCAAGGCAAGGTTTACACAGTGCATGTTAGTGTCGGCGAGGCCTCACTTGAGCGTCCCTTACCACGTTTTAAGGCCGCAGAACACAGTATTTATGGACAACCCCGGGGGTCTATATGACGCGGCTGCAGAAAGTAGTGCAGACAAATTCTTGAATCACTGTGTGGTATAGAAAGGTATCGGCTTGTACACCGTATGATTTGATTGTGAAGACTTCCCCGCTCGTGTATAAATGCGCTGCATTACGCAACTGCGTACGCTCGGGAGATGCGTAATGAGGTCGAATAATAGCAGCTCACCTTACTGAGCGTCCAGGGGGACCGACTGCATAGGAGGTACGGCAAGTTCATATTGGAATTGAAACGGGTGACGATCTGTGGATGATTCCCACCACTTACTGAATAGCTCCGCAGGGAATTTCCTTTTCACGACGGAACTCCTATATTTTCGTTTGGCTCCTTTATACGTACTGTATTATGTGATTTTCTTAGCCATAATGATTATAAGACCTGATCAACTTCACGATGTTGAAATTGTTGAGATGGGTTCACCGTCTGGGCTCAACAGATCGTGACCCAACACACCAGATGGTGGCCGCTCTTACGTGAGCCAGAAACCATGGCTTCGATGATATCCCAGCCAAGTTGTGCAAGTGCATTTCAAACCGTGGATAAAGTCAGCAAGAGGGCTGTGTGCATTGGCAAGAGATCAAGAATATCCCAGACAGTCCGGGGCCATAATACTGTTCCTTAGGGAGAACTAAGAACGATGTAAATCAAATTGTTATTAGGATCTCTATGCATGAATTGGGTATGGGAGGAAAAATTGAGAAAGGGGAATTTTATACATTTGTTCGGGAATAAACATGTACACTGGATTGGAAGGATCACTCGTACAGGTCAGGAAGGGCTTTAGATCGGCACCTCCTCATTGCTGAGCAGACGGCTATCAATTGTGAGGATGTTTTCTTTGGTAATGTGTACATTGAACCATGTATAAGGATGGGGAAAGTCGTACACAATCAACCTCCATTTTAACGCTTTCGCTAATACCGTATTATAAGAGACGGGGAAGTTACGAGGGAGAAACGCTCCAAAGGTGTACTTCTGAGTGCGTCTTCGCCCTGCACGTGATCGGAACATAGAGAGGCAGAGTGTGTGTTGATTTCATAAGGATGGTGATATGTTATGAAATCTGTGCGCATAAGTGCTGAGGCCAGGAGAACATACAGTTCAGATAATATTATAGGAAAGTAGTTATGCACCTAAGAGGTGTACGCGGGTAACACTCAAAGGTGAGTCAAGATCAGGTCTTGGACGGAGAAAACAAGCCCTGACATATATCAGCACTTTGTGCCGCAGGTTGACACAGTGACACTCAATTCTCTATCAACCCTTTGGATTATGTCCTCAATCGGGAAAAAAACAGTTGATTCTTACTCTTATGGAAAGTCGATGGGCACCAGCAACATGATGACGGATTTGGTGTAGCTGGTATTCAAGGACTGTTTTCGGACACGGCAGAAAAGGGTCACATATATCAGTGAGTTTGAAATAAAATGTGTTCCCAGTCATTTCATTATATGTCAGTCTTTGAATGTAGTAAGGGAGTTGATGAGTATGGGGATATACTTCCAGATGGAAGTGTAGGAAAGGATAAGGTGACATGCCTTAGCGGGGACGAGGAGTAAGGACAGCGCGACGTAGGCACTGTCCCATAACTTATGCAGGATGATCCGATGATTGCGCGGTGTGATTAGTAACCTAATTACACTGCGCTCTCATTGGTCATCCGTAATAACCTAATTAACCAACCCCATATAAGGCATGCGCGCCTTATCACTTCATCCATTTCTTCGGAGACATCCGCAACACCGAAGAGCACGGTGGGGGCCGGCCCGTAGGTATGGGCAATGCGGGATTTCTAGAGCGAAGTCAGGGAAGATAGTCTTGGACGCTTCCCACCCCCCGCCATCTCAGCAAATAATGCACATTTGCAGGGTCTAGGCTCCCTCCGCGCGACTTCGGCACTGTCCCATAACTTATGCAGGATGATCCGATGATTGCGCGGTGTGATTAGTAACCTAGTACAACTACAGACTCTTCAGGATGTGTTTCTCCCACGCTGCCTGAGCCTACACTTTTCCCTCTCAGTCTACCACAATTTATAGTAAAAGGTTGAACTTTATTCCAATATAAGGGTTAAACAGAAATTTTCAGCGACCACTGTCGCCTTCATCGGGATAATCAATGACCAATCACTTCACAACGTGATCTCGCGAAAGTTATGGTTACAAACACGTGACCTTATTCACACAAGACTTTACAGATGCGTGACGTCAGCAATTGATAAAATGTGCCAGGGAGTTTATATCATCCATTTGTTGTTTTTTTTGTTTGTTTGTTGTGTTTATCCCTAACCCACCTTCCTCATGTAGGTGAGTTTCCCCAGCCCTGTTTGTTTGTTTGTTTGTTTGTTTGTTTGTATGTCTGTGTAACAGTTTATGTACCCCTGACCCACCTTCCTCGTGTAGGTGAGTTTCCCCAGCCCTGTTTGTTTGTTTGTTTGTTTGTATGTCTGTGTAACAGTTTATGTACCCCTGACCCACCTTCCTCATGTAGGTGAGTTTCCCCAGCCGTTTGTTTGTTTGTTTGTTTGTTTGTGTTTACCCCTGACCCACCTTCCTCATGTATGTGAGAGGTTCCTTCTGGTCCTCGCGAGGAGCAATGCTGAGTTCCCGCTGAGCACAGATCAGCATCTCCCGGTATTTGTTTGTTTGTTTGTTTGTTTGTGTTTATTTACCCCTGACCCACCTTCCTCATGTATGTGAGAGGTTCCTTCTGGTCCTCGGGAGGAGCGATGCTGAGTTCTCGCTGAGCACAGATCAGCATCTCCTGGTATTTGTTTGTTTGTTTGTGTTTATTTACCCCTGACCCACCTTCCTCATGTATGTGAGAGGTTCCTTCTGGTCCTCAGGAGGAGCGATGCTGAGTTCTCGCTGGGCACAGATCAGCATCTCCCGGTACACGGCGTTTCGCAGCTTCCGCTCCCAGCCAGACTCCTGCAGCGCTGACAGCAGAGACTGCTTCAGGTCACCTGCAACCAGAAGGAACAAGACTGGCGATGAAAACACACATCGCCATGGCGACGGTGGTTGCTGTTGGGGTTATTGTTTGCATGGCACTGCCATCATTTCATGATTTTGGATGTTGAATAAACATAGTGTAACAACAAACGCAAACAGCAATAAATCTCCCCCTGTTCTGATTCCTTCCTTTCATCACATCTTCTCATTACATTTTGCGACACTGTCGTGACACTCTGATCATAATACAGAAGCAGAATTTTTGGTAACATTTTTTTCCAGTAACAGTCCAAAATCAAATAACTTAGGGGGGCCTAAAACGGTGACATTGCATCTGTAAATCTGTGGCAAACCCTTTCGGGGTGTTCTGTAGAATAAAAAAAGGAAAAAAGGAATAAAAAAAGGAAAAAAGGAGAAAAAAACAGGGATTCATTTGTACTCTAGACCAAATTGTCTGTGTACAGGCCGGATACTTACCCAGGTGGAAGTTTTCCTTCTGTGCCTGGGCCGTGGCGGCCTGTCTCATGTCTGTGTAGAGGGGCGTGGCCTTCAGGTTCCGGGTTACCAGGTCAACCAGGTGAGACAGCTCCATGTCTGCCGGCACAGCCATCCTGCACAGGTGAGCTCACACCTGCAACAGGTGTGCTGACCCCTGGGAACCGGCCTCAGGCTCTGCCTGTGTCTGTCTGAAACACAAGGACATGTAACATCTGTGTCCATAATATCACCCTAGCCCATAATATCGCCACCTTGAGAAAAAGTCTGCTTAAACATATTTTTACTGTGCATACCCTAGGTATGTGCGTTAGAGGTGTGCAGGAGTGCATACCAAAAGTATGTTGCAGTAAAAATATCTTAAAACACACTATTTCTAAAGGTGGCGATATTATGGACCCTGGTGATATTACGGACACAGATGTTATGTGTAGATAAAAGAGAACTCTACTGTATGTTTGAGGTTGTGAGTGATATTCACCCAGGTGAAAGGAGTATTGCACAGGTGTGCTTACACCTGCAACCTGCACAGGTGTACTTACACCTGCACATGTGTACTGACACCTGAAACCTGCACAGGTGTACTGACACCTGCACAGGTGTGCTGACACCTGAAACCTGCACAGGTGTACTGACACCTGCAACCTGCACAGGTGTACTGACACCTGCAACCTGCACAGGTGTGCTGACACCTGAAACCTGCACAGGTGTGCTGACACCTGCAACTTGTTGTTGTTGTCCTTGTTTAACGTCTAATATCTCGCCAGACATGGTCTCTTGGTGCTGGTTTACGCTTGGTTCAGTTCAGAGTCAAATTGTCTCTCTAGGTATTTTACTCTTGGTGTCTTTATACCTGATAACTACAACTGACAAACGGCCTCAAGCTCTGCAGTACAGTGGCGAGCTAGAGACCAGGTATTATTTCGGCGCTGAGATTAAATAAACTTGCTATTAATCTGTCAGTATCTCGCTGACAGCCTGCCCGACCTACCTAGCCGCCTGTATGCGCGTAGGTTCGGTGCTGAAAACGCGACGCGGAAATCAAACCGTGGATGTTGTCACCGCCGGTCGCGGTCGTTTCCATGACTGGAACGCCGCCATGATGGCTGGAACAGTCCAAGTCATACAGAGGGGTACAGTTTTATAAATAAAATTTTATCACAATCAATATTGAGCTAAACCACATAATTTATACTTATATAATAAAAACAAGTCTTATTTATATAAAGTTAATATTTAATGCTATTTACTATGTTCTTTTTTCTCTTTCTATGGTTGGCATTTTAACACCGCTATTTTAGACACCCCTTTGTCACTATTGGTACATGGTACAAGCCATTACGGGAGTGTGCGATATTCATAGCGAAGGGTTATGTCTTGAGGAGGGGAGATCCGTGTCAGTTCTGGGGGAGGGAGGGAGAGAAAGCCAGGAGGAAAGTGAAGAAATCCAAGTCCTCTCTCAGGATGGTCATAGCTAGAGTGATCTAAGCAGACAGATCTCGTTAATCCTCAAATGCAAGGGACCTCACGTAAACGCGAATTCGGTCATAATAACGTTAATGATGAACTGTACTGTAATCATGAATGTTATTACCATTCAGTATGTGGCATGGGTTGAGGTAGATCTACTAGATGTATGAAGAAGAGGAACGTAGATTGTATCAGATTATAAAGATCTGCTCTCTCTCTTTGTTGTATAGTTTACATTCTATTACAAAACGTCTCTCATCTTCCTAGATAACGGTACGGACATATTCGTTGTTCTATGGACATTTGGGCGAGGGTGGGAGTTTGGCCGTTGGCTGGCTGGTGTTCGGGGGTCGAATTTGACTCAAATTTGACTCAAATTCGATTCATATATGGAAAGTCACCATGTAAGTACATGTACTGCAATGTCAGCCAAAATACTGCTTTATTGTCACTCACCCTATAGATCAACATATATAGTAATTATGTTAAACAAACAGCTTTTTTAATACTAGTAGTACTTAACTTCGTACACTTCTTTACCATAAAAAAGTCAATGCGAGAAGTTTAGCTGGCTAAAGTTCTCCTCATTCTGCTATCAACGATGTTTGTTGCCTTCAATTGGCACTGGCGCAAGGTGTACCTCGGCCCGCCTCTACAGATGAACACTCCTCTACAGCAAAGGATCTGCCAATTTTGTAATCTAGATAATATTGAAGCGAAGATGAATGCCATTTTGTAGTTGACTGCATATTATATAGAAACGAGAGGGATTCCCTCTATACTTATGTAATAGATAAGTTCCCAAGCTTTAGACATTTAGACAGAATAGAAAAATTCGAATTCCTCATGCAACTTGACAAACCATGTATCATTAGCTCAATATGTTCGTACAGCTTGAACTGCGTCAAGAAACTAGAAGAAGCTGAACCTGTAAATAGTAGATCACATTAGTATGTATAGTTTGTTAAAGTGTCATTGCTATATTCTTTTCCCTGTCATCCATGACCTGTACTTAGCTTGTTAGAGCACAAACGCACAATAAAGGTCTTTCATTCATTCATTGAAAAAACATTTCACAATAAAAAGCGTTAACAGTACAATGTTAAAACATTAAAATATAACACAGTTCTATACATAACTATCAGGTTTCCTTTGCATAAGCCAGTCTCGACTTCTTCCAGCTCATTTGCTAGTGTTCAGGAGTCGCAACAGCGATGGTACAGAACTATTCCTGACTCCAACAGTACGACTGACTGGCAGGGTTAGCTCATTAGAGTTTCTGAGATTTCAGCTTTATTACACATTATGTAAATGACCAAAGGAACAGAGGATATAGACTAGGGAGCTAAACTAGGTCTGGTAACCTGGCTATTTGCTTAGCCATTATGTGAAATGCGCTGCATGTTTGGGTTTTCTGCGCTTATGCCATCCTTCCCAGACGATCGGCTCGCACAACTCGTAGTTCTCTCCGCGCCACCACCTGTCGAGGTCCGTGTACACTTTCCTCTCCGCCGGAGCCGCCCGGAGCAGCTTCCTGCACACGTCACAAAACCGCGACTCAAACAGCTCGGGCAGGTTTTTGGGAGGATTCGTCTTCCAGGCGAAATATCGGTTATACTCGTCGTCGTTCTTGTCGAGATGTTTTAGGTAGTTTGCCAGAGCCTCGGGGGAGGCGAAGTCGTCTACGTGAATAAAGGAGTTTGGAGGGGCGAACCTTCGGTAGTCTTCCCTCGGCGCACCGTACACGACCGGGACGATGTCGTAGTCGAGCGAGTTGTGCCAGAACTTCTCCGTCATGTACTCCACGCACCGGAAATTCTCAAACGCGAGGTAGAACTTGTATTGCCGCACGTGCTCGCGGAGGCACGCCCTGTCCCCCTTCACACACTTGCTGGCGTTTCCGCAGGCCCCGAAGACGTCCACTCGGACGTGTTTCATGAGTTCTGCTGCGTAGCTGGTGCGGGACAGATACTGGAAACAGTCGCTCACGTACCAAATGGCCAGCCTGTTCTTCTGTCTGGCGTAGTCTTTGTCAGGAGTGGGAGGGTTTTCGGCCAGCGCTTTGTAAACCTGTATGTGAAAGAATGGGTAAATATATTATAATTTGTAGTGCAAAGGCTGTGGAAGACGAAATACATTTTATCTCAAACTGCTCGAAATGAGTTGACTATTCAAACCTCTACAATTTATACCAATTTCCCAAAACTTACAGACAAAAAAACTATTCTTCTTTTAACTCCCCAAAACCCACAAATTTTGGTAAAGGTGGGACATTACGTCTTCCATGGTTTGCAGAAGAGAAGTCAAATCCTTCAGACATAGTTTTAGACATAGCTATAGTTTTAGACAATTAGATTTCATTATATGTACATTTTGAAGTTATTTTATACTCTGTTTCAATGTTCTTTTATGTTTGTAACTTGCACTTAGCCTTCGGGCATGGATTTGCAATAAAGTTCTGTATACCTGTGTGATGTGGCCCCAGGGAGCCAGGATGTCGGAGTCGTTTCGGTACGACATGGTCCAGTTAAACACGCCCGCGTAAGTCACCAGGTCGATGCCTTTGGTGAGATGCGGGCATTCGAAGGGAAAGTAGACCCAGATCTGGTGCTCCGGGCGGGTCTTGGGGAACCAGCTGCGGCGGTACTTCTGCGGGATGCCGCGGATGCCGCGGAAGATTATGGCGTCCGCGTCTGCAGTTTTCGTCCTCCTTTTCTTCCTGACGAACTCGCACTGCGGTAAGGAGAGGCAGGGGATGGCACCCGGAGTCGGCCATCGGGACGTTGGGTTCCAGATGATGACTTTCCTGCGGTCCGACGGCGACTTGTTTACCGGCTGCGTCGCGGCGTCCACCCGCCAGGTGGCGTAAAACCGTGCGGACGGGTTCTCCGAGTCGGGAACCAAGTTGTCGTACCTGGGGAGTGCCGAGCGCCGGACAAGCCGAGACGTCGCGTTCCGGGGGAGGACAGAGCGCCGAACGAGGGACGCGTTTTCAGCTTTTCCAGAGTTAGAAACTTCGGCCCTGCTGTTGCTGTAACCGACCAGATGGTTCAAAACAGCCGGCATTATTGACATGTAACTGCGCGCCATAAACGCGAGGTACACGAAAAAACACAACATCAACAGACGTTCGCATTTCTTCAAGAGATCGCGTTCTTTCTTAGACTGCATAGTGATAAAGTCTCTCGGTTGGCATTGATCTGAAGATGTCCTTAGAGCAGATGGTAATGTGGCATCCGACGGGTGTGGGGGGGTCTGAACGTGTCCCGTTTTTATAGGAAATGTACTTTATCTAAAATAACTCAATGGACTCGTGTGAAAGTAGCTTGGGCTGGTTATAGATGCCCTCTCGGATGGGAAACCCTACGGGAGCCGAACTTCCAGCCGCCGCACTTGTTGTCGACGCGAGTTTGGATCCATCGTGTGTTGGGGCGCGCAAGGAAAGGGGACCGGCCGGTTCCTGATCAGGCTCCTAACCTCCGCTTCTCCTGTTGGGTTTAAAACAGTCGTCACTCTCACGGATGGGTGCAGCTTGATGTTTCTGGCTTAGAGAGAGGAGGTGATGCTTCAGCCTTTTTCTTGTAACAACTGGTAACATCGAGTGTCCTCCCTTTACCTGGTGACTTTGAGTCCAAAATACTAGTACTTTTCACTGTTGAGAGGAAGATTCTGTTGAAGCATGGCGTTGTCCAATGAGCGGGAGAGGTGGTCCGGTATCGGTGTCTGAAACAAACCGGATAAATCTATGGATTAGATCAATTAGATCCCGTTCATACCAGACTTTAAAAATCCGGTTGAAATCTTTTGAGACGAAAACAGAAAACACATCGATGAATATATTCACAGAAAGTTGTAATACAACCGCCCCAGATTGTCAAACATCACAATGAGGACAGCCTAAGGCACTTGGTCAGTTTCGACGTCCGCTTATGGTGTATGCCGTGATTGTCATTCGTGGTTCTAAAGTTCTGGATCTGTCCTTTTCATTTTAAAATATATTCGGTGAACAGTTTCTATTTGAACCGTAAAATGCTGTCTCTTTTGGCGTACGGAATCAGTCTCCATAAGCATAACGTTTCTCAGTCCAAGAGGAACCGGTTTGGCTTCCCCTGTAGGTCCTGATATAGCCTGCACCAGGCCTTTCTACGGGAATACGGATCGTAGAATTCTTTCAGTATTCTCCTATATATAATATAGCCAGCGTAGTTAGTCTGGTAGAGACCCTGTTGGCGGGGCGTTCCGTCTCATGTCCCGTGCCGCAGGGTTCGTCATGTTGGAGATAATCAAGTGTTGTCTGCTCGTCAGTCAGTCGTGGTTTTATAGTCTTAGCTTTTTCTTTACATCACCACGTACACGATCACCAGCGTACATACTACCATCGATAAATGTACATTAGAGCTTCTGATTCCTCTTTAATTCGTTTTAACAGAGCAGGAACAGAAGCATCTTAGCGTGTACATATGACCTAGTTTCCACACTTATAAGTGCTCAACCGGAAGGTACATGCAGTGTTCTTCATAAGGATCTTACATGACATACATGACATCACGCTAACATCCCGTAACTACAGGGGCTAAAAGAAACATTCACGATGCAAGTAACTCACCGGGACTAGATGAACGCAGCAGCTCGGCAAAAACAAACCGTTTCCCGGCGACGGCTGGCAGGACTTCTGGGAAATATGCCCGGATCCTCACCTGTTCGGACTGAAAATCCGGCTAGACGGGTTTGGGTTGATGTAAACGCCGCGATTTGAAATCAGGCAACAACTTTCAGAGAGAGCCAGTACTGGTAGTTTCCGCAGAACATACAACATAACAAACTGTATCGTTACAGTTGTGTGTATGCAACTTAATTACAGTTAGCATAACGACCCGGAGAACTTGTATTTGAAAACTAAAAATATGTGTTATGACCTTGTTGATTCAAGTTTTGCACTGTCTTTTTATATCTTAGTACATGCACCTTCTGTTGTACCCAGCTACGAAACAGCCCTGTAAAAATGAAGCAAAGCCTTTTTCACTGGAGGGAAACGTTTGCCCTTCTTCGGTAGGTGAGGTAAACTTTTGGACAATCAGCCCGAACGTTGAAATGTTGTAGAAGAAAATTTATTACAAAATGCAAGCAACAACCAGAGGTAAAACATACAGTTTTCTGTTTCATAAAGATTTAATGAAATTAGCCTACAACGTTATAGGTAGCAAGACTCCATGTAAGGCTTGTACATGCATAGCCCTTCGACGTAACACACCAGCTTCGAGGATCTAGTTTATACCATGTACCAAAGACCGATTATATACCATAGATTTTGTGATGACATCATGTATGTGAATTATAATGCCATTGTGTTTGTTAGCGTGTTCCCGCTGTCGCCCGGGGCTTCAGCTGCCGCTACTTGGTGATCTGCGCGGGAACCTCGAAACAAAAGAGGATGTCGCCGTTCTGGTCTGTCAGCTGCCACTCGACAACCACCTTCACCTGAAACAACCGACAACATGGCCATCAAGAGGAGAACTAGATACAGCAATGTCTCTTTACTACATGACCTTTCACACTTTTCCAGACGCCACCTTCCTTTCCACAAATTCTTACATGGTCTGTACTCCTCAAACAGAATTAGATAAATTATGTTTTTAATCCACAGTTTCGTTACTTTATTTTCATCGCCAGCTTATCGTGGTGCGAACAGTTCACCCACCCCTGGGTAGTCGTTATACACGTGCAGCTGGGATTTCTATGTGAAGATTTCGCCGGACTTCAGCGGACAGGTCAGGCCCCCTCCCCCCTCTCTCCCGGTACGAACATGTACAGTTAACCCACCTCTGGGTAGTATGTGTCCACATGCAGCTGGGACTTGTAGGTGAAGTTTCCTCCGGACTTGAGCGGACAGGTGAGGCCGGAGTCCTTGCAGCCGTCCGGGTACGGGAAGTTCGGGAACGGCAGCTTCTTTCCTAACAGAATCGCGTACACGTCCGTCTGCAGCTTCGTCATCTCTGCCTCTGGAGGAACAATGACAAGGACAATAACTTTATTGCATATCATTATATAGCCGGGTGACTTTGGCCAGTCAGAAGGCTCCATTCCACATGGCTTATGACACCGTAATGTCACAAATAGAGTCAAAACCGGGTCATTATTCATCCCAATCCATACATTGAACAATCCAATAATCACCCGCAAATGACCTCGGGTGACCCAAATAGAACACGACTCTGTTTCAAAATATCCATAAATAACTTAAGTTGTGTTCCGACGACCTCGGGTGACACCCATAAGGAACACATGTTCCCTGGCGATGACCCAAATAGAACACGACCCTGCTCCGGTGACCTGAGGTGACTCCATATGGAACATATGTTATACAGGAATGTGTCACTCTTTACTGTGTGAGTTTTGATAGGCTATATGATGATAGCGTTAATGGCCCGCCCTTTCTCGGTGAATATGGTGTGATGTAACCACCGCGGCATAAAGCCACTCTTTATTCGGTGGTTATAGCAACTGGCAAGGCTTTACCACACCATATTCACCTCGGGGCGGGTCATTAACTTAATTCACGCCCTATATGGGCAAATGCACTACGTTAGATAACTGAGGTATAAGGGTGGGAAGTGCTACATTGCTGTACTACGTCTATATCTACAGGATCTCTTCTCTCTTTTTGAAACATGTATGAACAAATTGACCACACTTAGCTTTTCATTTACATCGTAGTGCTTGGATGTCATAATATCACCAATAACAAATGCATCAGGAAAACGTACTGGCTTAGCCTTGCGTCTGTTTTGCTGATACCAATATACGAATGATCTATTATGTAAGTATTTTCAGATAAACAAAGTAGTTGTGAAAGAATTAAACGATTTGCCCGAAAGTATGAACCATATGCCCGGGTTTTGTAAGCTTCGTTAGTCACGAGTTTGTTTGGAGTGCGGACTCAAGACCGGCTGCCGATAGGATTAATCACGGGGTTAACCTTTTAACTCAATGCTAAAGTACAGTTCGTATCATCAGGGATAGGACCCACTGAAGGCAAAGTGCTTGTGTGTGCACTGAAATAAACAGATGTGGAAAAATACTACAAATGTCAAAATCTCTCTCTAGCCGGTGTTACTCCCCGCCTGCCCAGGCCTGGTGAGCGGCAACTGCGGGGTGGGCCTGCCGCTAGGAGTGCGATTTACTCAGGCTAGAAAAGTATAATTGCCCAAGGATTATTTGATGCCTAGAACTCATCATGACTGTGGCGATAACAGAATTTTATGACGGAGCAGGACTGGTGGCATGATAGAAATTGTCCTTTAACCATCTGTTACGGCTAAAGTGTAGTTTCTGTGGCTACCTGTACCGGTGGCGTAGTGCAACAGATCTTCTTGATAAAGGCAGCAGGTCTAAACAATATCTGTCATAAAATGTACCTGCGGCAAATACCGGTCCATGAAATGGTAGAGCGAACACGCCGAACCCCCTGTTCTATTTCGAACACGTCGAACCCCCTGTTCTATTTCGAACACGTCGAACCCCCTGTTCTATTTCGAACACCACTCTATCAGAATCAACACGGGAAGAGTCACGCCATCTTTGCGGTCGTTTGCGGCAGTGAAGAACTCTCATATCGGGCAAAGAAAAGGGTTACTAGTATGCTACAAGGCCTTACAAGTATCTCAGCCTTAATTATTGAAGGAAACATCCACAGAGTGAGTGAGGGGTTCGAAATTAGATCCAGGACAAGGGGCGGGGCTCATGGTGTGTGTTGGATCAAGAACTGGGTCTGTAAGGTTCGGGACGGTATCGGTGAGGAATGTGAGGAAAAGTTACTTGTGGTGAAGGTGACTTCCATGCTGACGTTGGAGCCCTTCTTGAGAACGCAGGGCTCGCTGGGGCAGGGCGTCACGCTCACGGCGGTGATCGCGCCCGTCTTAGAACCTGCAGGAACGGAACATACAGAACGGACTTCACAAGATTGTATAAGCAACATGCACCGTACAAGAGTAGAGTATAAGATGCATCAAACATGTAGTCTCGTTTTTTATAGACTCCGGTGGGCAGAAGATCTTACCATGGCGTATCTTACACAGCTGAGGAACAGTTGTGGCTTTAACGTACGTCGTGCATATAAACTTGTAATAATTTCTATCAAATATCACAAAACGTGTGTAACATCTTTTTGCACTTACCACAGTCCTTGAACACTACAGATTGAGACGAGGCAAAAGCCACCAAGACGCAGACGAAAATCAGTGTTTTCCACATGTTGGTGAGTAACAGGTAACTCTAACAGGTAACTCTAACAGGTAACTCCAACAGTACAGGTGTGTCGCAGCGGCGTACATGCACATGTAGATCTGGTGGACTTCAGCCCTTGGACCATCCACGGTTTGACCAATCCGCGGCAAACAAGACAGCTGATCATGAGGTCACGTTACCCCACCACGAGTTTTTAAAGACTCTAATCACATTTTGTGATCTCGCTCTCCTGTGCAAATTTGTTCTCTGAGGACAACACACACAGTTCCACCAGTGCTATGGGTCCTCACTGCACTGCGCAGTATGGCTTTATAATGACAAGCAAAAACGTTAAACAAGGTAATATATCTCTGATGTTTGTGATATTGTTAAATTCTATTGTGTTTGTTCTATTTCTTCTTACTATAAATATGAAGTCCACTTTTTATATGTACCGAATAATGTAGATTTTAGTGTATCTGTAATTCTTATAATGCATATTGTAAGTAGGGCGCACATCTGGGCAACCAGGCCCACAAGTCCCTTTCCCAATAAAACAGACTTAACTTGAATAAAAAGTAGATCCAGACAAGAGGACAATAATGAACAAGACGAGTTATGGGTAGCAAACATGACTTTTTTCCACAACACCATCAAAATACACAGTTACTGTGTACGGAAACAAACAGTTGGAAGTTGTTAGGAGCAAATACAGAGTAGTATTACAGTACAGGATATATATATATAACATCCAGAGAAATGATTACTTGGTAAGACATTCTGAAAATAATACAACATAAGTTCTTAGACACGTAGCACATCTTCCATAACCTCAACCCACCAGAGTAGCGAATCTACTCTTGTGGTACATCTTTGGATTCAGTGGGTTTAAAAAAGGCACTTAGTCAGTCGACACATACAGAAACAAGGGAAAATGAATGACAATCAGGACACTGAAACTATATAAACCTTTGTCATGTCACGTAAATACATCTTATTTCTCAAGTTTCATTATCAAGGTCTAAATAAGTTTCTTACTTGCACCACATGACTCTTAAATATACGAGTGACTCTTTGCTTCCTTTGGTATAAGTTTCAGGTAATACGTCCCAAATGGGTCCTCTAAAATCACTTTCAGCATTAGAAGAGAAAATTTGAACCTTCTGCTTTAAATTTCAGGTAAGGCCAGTCAATCTTAGTTCCTAGGAGAGAGCGCTGCCTTGAATATACCAAAAATGCAGAACTTCCTCTACACATATTTACATCATCTTCATCCAGGCTTTACTGGACCAAGTACAGGTACAAATCTGGCTGTACATTCATCAACATCATCAAAATTTGTCTTATTCCACTGTCAATCAAACTTGTAAACATTTTGGCAAAACAGGCAGCCAGCTACAGACTTTTTTCACATTTGTCTGTTACTGATATACTATAACACTTTGTGTAACATGTCTGACATGCCAAACAGTAGTTAGGCCACACCAATCTCTCCAAATCGCCTCTTCATTTTTTTTCTGATTTGCAAAAAAAAAAAAAATTCTGGTACTGAATCAACTGAAAAATGCTCATATTTTGCCCCCAACAGTTGAGGAAAGCATTTGCATGGGGCTATAATATGATGCCTAGACCTGTTTTTCTTTTTTCTTTGCCCTGTCGCATCATATTTTTTCTGAAAAAAAAAGAGAACCAACAAATTAAATTGGTGTGGCCTTACTGTCTGAAATCAAAAGGTACAACAGGTTTGAGCTACGCTCTGGTATTACATGTGGGTCCAGTGTAGTAATAAATAAGCTAAAATCTGACAGGTTTAGTGGCTGTTTTCCTCTGTTAACATGGCTGTTACTAACTTGGAATCGGTTTGGAAGAAAATAAAGATTTCTTCTGAGACAGTAAATTTCACCATGGTTGTGGTACTAGTATCAGCCAGCTCAGAGCCGCGAGTTTATCTGTTGTAGGATGTATGAAATAAAGACTAACTTTCCTTCCAACACTGAAATGAATTGGGACTTACCCCAAATTTTCGGCTGACTCCTTAAACCTTGTTCACGGAATGGTCCCGTATACTCTTGGACGGTGACGTCAGAGACACGTGACCGTAGTAGCGGGTCATACGTGCCAGATGATTCCGTGAACAAGGTTGAAGGAGTCAGACAAAAATTTGAGGTGAGTCCCAATTCATGCCAGTGTTGGAAGGAACGTTTAGTCTTTATTTCATAATAACTTGTACCAACACATAAACTTTCATGCTGTTGTACATGTAGGAGGTTTGACAGTAACACAAGACTAAAACAAGATGTTAGATCAACAGCTCAATCTCCGAGGAATCGTGTCAAATCTAACACTCCATCACCAGAGAACCATAACAAGAAGGAACAGCCTTGTGTAGAAAAGCAAAAACTGTTGTTCCAGTCCAAAATGTACTGTACAGGCTCACAGACAAAGGAAACTACCATTCTCAATACAAACAGACGCCCCTTCCGTACAACTGGTAACTTTCCATTCAAACATATCTCCTGTTCGTATTCTAAGATATATTTTTTCCACACTTCGGTAACATCTGTTAAAGAAGCAGTGTTATCACTATGACTGTAGATAGCTTTTTTTTTTCTTCGGAGGTCAGCTTTCAAAAATCATGCACAGGCTAACAGTGACATGACCTGACACACACACATATATAACAAGAGTTCTTTAAATTTGTCTCCTAGCTGGATTAAGGATTTTAATCTTTGGCTTTTAGCAATATCAGGTAAGAACTAGCTCAGGTTCACGTATTACTATCTTTGAAGAGTGACAAATTTCAATGCTCCAAGAGCCCTCTATCTTTTCTACAGAGAAAGGAAGCTACCATGGCCAACAGGTACAATGTACCGTAACACTGTTGAAGTGTTTTTACTATGTATATTAGGGCCAGAAAGTAATCAACATTTGTCTACTAGTCAGTATGTCTTTGTGACATTCTGACCCTAAAATCCCTAGAAGTTCTAGTTCAGCAGTGTTACAGTATTGTACCTGTGGGCCACCGTAGAGAAAGGAAGCATTTCCAGTCTTTCAGTTCTCCTGCGAGCGGATTGCTCACAAGTAATGTATCAAGTGTGTTACAGTAAAGTTATTAGTTTTTTTTTTTGCTTGTCGTCAGAGCAAAGGCACTCCATTGGTACCTACTGTTACTAATCTTTGGATCTAGTGTGACCCGCGGTTAGGCCCGCGGCGCATTGCCCCAGGGCTGACCCGCGGCCCGTCGCCCCAGGGATGTAGCCCGTGGCCCGTCCCGCGGGTCTTGATGCAGATGTCGTGTTCCCAGTTCAAGGCAGGTAGGAATTATGCCAGAGGTAATGTAGATGCTGAGTACTAAACTGACGGTTGGTTACGCTGAGGACACAGTTCCGAACCGGGGCCCGGTCGGGCTGTTTGCGTGACCGGAAAATCAACATGTCATACGAAGAACGTACACAAATAGTGCTCATGATTACTTTCTTCAATTTTTTGTGTGTGTTTTGTTGTCTTTTCTGTATCTGTATCTGTATAGTCGGTATAACTGCCCTTCGGCGTAACACACCAGCTTCGCAGGCACGTGGCGCGACGGCAGCTAGCTATATCACACCGAACGACTTGTTACACTCAATCATATGACATATACTTTTCGTTTCCACAAACTGCCAGGCTGGGAATTGTGACTTCAGCATTAACATGAGCGGTAGTTATGTCTGGCATGGTACATATCAATGCCTGGAACGGAGAAATATTATCAAACTCACAACCAGTAAACTTCCACATGCCGTGGAGGAAGGTTTCGTTGCTGTGTGAGCAAACAGTTTGGACAGTTCAGTACTCAACACGTCAGACCTTTGTGCACATCAACATTATAACACCATCCTGCATATGTAACATTATAACACCATCCTGCACATGTAACATTATAACACCATCCTGCATATGTATGTACTTGTGCATTACGGGGAAACTCTTCCCAGCAGCTTAAACTAAGTTAAAGGCATCCACTGCAAGATTGGTGCGGCAAAGCAAATACTACTTTGCTATCATGAAAGTTCATCTGTGTTGGTAGTTACATTGTTAAAACTTTAGATCCAATGCAAAAAGTTCTCTCACTACTGAGGAAGACCATAGTGACTGGTCGAAAGCTCTAGGTAAGAGAACGTTTTGTGTTGGATCTTAAGTTTTAACTCTAAACAAATAATAGTTTGGTTGAAGAAATCTGTCTGATACTGAAAGTTACTGCTATTTCTTAGCACATGTTCCTCATCATTCTATACTTGAAGCACTGGAAATATCCCCAAGACAAGTTACACGAGGTACCTCTTTATTTTTGGGTACCACCCATAAATATCTAGAACCTGCCTAAAATACAAAACAAGAAACAGTTTTCCGTCTGTGACATCATATTTTTGCGTCACAGACATCAGGATGCTATGGGACAGGTTTGATTCAACTTACTACATTAAAAGAATTACCAGAAAATTGACTTTGAAAATGTAATTTTGCCGTCCTGAAATTGCACTGGATGCCTTTAACGGAATGACTAAAGCTTCAAGAGCTGCTCTATACTTTCAAATTATTGCATGGGATCAGCAGAATAGCAAGGAGTGGCAAAAACAGAGTATCTGTTAAAAAAAGATACAACGTCAAAAGTATATCAGGCACTGTGTTGCATGGTTCCAAGATGCATGTAGTAGTACTGTGTTTTGAATGTGACAATGATGCCATGCAATAAGAAAAGTATTTGCATATCAAAGATGACTTGACAAAAGTCATCCATTGTGTGGATTGAAGTTTTCAAACCAACCACTCGAGACAAAGTACTAATCTCCAAGCAGATCATACAGTGTCAAGGCAGTATCCATTGGCCAGAGGAATGTCCATTTGCCACTGAAGAATTTGCCACTGAAGAACTTGGGTGGCCAATGGATACTGCCTGGCCAATTCGATACTGTCTTTGGCGGCCACCAAAAGATTTGCTTGGAGATTAACAACGTACATGTACTACGTCTCATGAGGGTGGTGGTTACTGAAGTTGTTTTACACTTGTTTTTCCCCATCAGGGTTTTGTGGCAGTAAAATCGTCAGGAAGTCATGTGATACCAGGACAACACAAACACAAAACTGTCAGACATGCCGGGAACTATCACCCACTCACAACCATAGAATAACAAGCTGGAAGTACAGCAACTTAGAACTTAGAGTCTATGAATCAACTGTACATAATATTATATGTAAGTATGAATACAGAAGTTAAAGTCAATATTAATCAGCATCTGTAACAACTAACGATAATTAGAATAATGGTCCTGGTTAGGAAAATATACAAAAATGTACATATATCAACGTCAACTTTACACCAAATATACTAAATGATGAAAAAGCCCAGAAAGGCAAATTTTTCATCATCTAATGAGCAACATATACATCCTCACAACATAGGACACGTCCACCTTACGTAGAAAAAGACAAAAACAGACAGAAAAAACTGACTGGTTATTTGAACTGACATGAGATGAAATGTTTATCTATTCTATATGGATCTTTGGATATATTTTGTTTGTATAACTGTCCCACCTCGGATAGTCACTACCCTGGTCTACCCTCCTGGCCTGTGAGTTGTTGATTATCAAGGTTCCACGTTACTTAGCAATGTTCTGGAAACAACTGTGTGTAGAAGGAGCAGTGTCCTCGCCAGCCTGAAATATTTTTCTGTTCTCACAGAATTTTGTTATCTGCTGTGAGCGACAAAGTTTCACCAAATCCCAGACACTGGCTAGAACAGTGATGTGTAGCATTTAGCATGTGGTCCAGTACTACAAAAAATTGCAGTAAGAAAAATATACATGATAGTAAAAGAAACTACTGGTGTATCTTGTAAATAAAATCACAGTTGATTTCTGTGGTAGTGGTGTGTTGAGTTGTGAGGTGACTTGTGTGGTTGTGGTGTGTGTTGCAGAGTGGACAGCATAATGTGTAACTGTTACAGTTGTGTCCAGGGTATCCAGGGTGGAGGATGAATTGTTGATTTCTGTGGTACATGTAGGGATGGGTGGAGTGTGTTAGGTGTGGTAGATGGACAGTACAATGTCTAACAGTTGTGTCACTGTTGATGATTGTGTATGTTGCAGGAGTGGAGGATACATGGACAGAGTACTGTAACATGTACCATGTAACAGTTGTGTCCAGGCTCTGTGTGGTTGATGATCTGTGTGTTGCAGGAGTGGAAGGTAAGATGGACCATGTAAAAGTTATGTCTGGGTAGGAGGATAAGATGGACAGAGTACCATGTAAAAGTTGTGTCCAGTCTCTGGTGGTTGTGGCTGTAATGTGTAACAGTTGTGTCCAGGTAGGAGGATAAGATGATCAGTGTACCATGTGAAAGTTGTGTCCAGGCTGTGTGTGGTTGATCTGTGTCTTGCAGGGTTGAAGGTAAGATGGACCGAGTACCATGTAACAGTTGTGTCCAGGCTGTGTGTGGTTGATGATCTGTATGTTGCAGGAGTGGAAGGTAAGATGGACCATGTAAAAGTTGTGTCCAGTCTCACTGTGTCAGGTTCATCAACAACTTCACCCTCCCGGCCTCATAATCGTCCTCGTCTACGTTCACTAACAGCTTTATTGCCTCGTGACCCACGGCTTGCTTGAGCGAGTCGGTGATGAAAACCCCCTTCAGAGCCTCCAGCAGGGACCCGTTGATGTAGTCGCGCCAGAAGGCGTCCAGGTACGTCAGTTCCGAGAACTTGATGTCGCAGATGATGGCGCCGAGGTCTCGGGACTTGAGGATGGTGTTCGCCTGGCTGAACCGCTCGAACTGACGCTCCAGCTCCGACGGTTTGTTGGAGAAGATGTTTCCCTGGAGGGCCGTGTCGTGTTGGCAGAACTCTGCACGCACGCGCAACCGGATATCTGCAGAAACATGGGGTTTACAGCATTATAAATAACGTGTCATGCTGACAGAACTCCGCACGCACGCGCAACCGGATATCTGCAGAAACACGGGGTTTACAACATTATAAATAACGTGTCATGCTGACAGAACTCCGCACGCACGCGCAACCGGATATCTGCAGAAACACGGGGTTTACAACATTATAAATAACATGTCGTGCTGACAGAACTCCGCACGCACGCGCAACCGGATATCTGCAGAAACATGGGGTTTGCAACATATATAAAAGTAATATTTGCAAAGCAAATGCATAATATTTACCTTCGCATATGGTCTTCTCTGTTAATTCTTACTCGAATACAATCATATATATATATGGTCAAACAGGAGTATAAATCCCCCTACTATAAAATTGCAACATTATGTAACCCGACACCAGTTACCATGGTGACAGGTGTCAACATATCAGATCATTGGCCAGGTCAGAGGTCAGTGTTTGGAACAGAAGAAGAAGAGGAAACGTAGCAAAAACAATATGTTTTCCTTCGGTAAACATCTTAGAACTCTCCATGCACACGCAACCGGATGTCTGTGATGAAAAGGAAAAGTGATCTTGATTTAGTTTTATTTGTACCTCACTGGTCGTGACAAAGAAGACAGATGCTATGTACAGTATTTACAGGTACATTGTACCAGGGAAAGTCCCCTTCATCTTTTTGTCAAGCACAATGAATGGTGGAGCACAGCTTAACGTCCCGTCCTAAGGACTGCGACTCTTTCCAGTAGCGTGCATGTCGGGTGAGTGACAACAGCCGGGATTGAAACTCCCAACCTCTTGGTCCAGTGGCAGGGTTGGTCTAACCATGCTAGTTTGGAAAACACTTTTTTGCAACATACAAATGACAAAGCAGCAGACTGCAGGCAGGGAAAGAAACAAACCAAGAAGTAATTTGTCTGGCATAATTTGATTAACTTCAGGATAAAACCGATGTAGCTGCATGTCATTTGTAATATTAATGTAATATCGAGGCCAAATGATTTCCCTTTACATAAAAAATTCATGTCGGCTGATGAGGCTTTTGAAGGGAAAATTCTTAACCTTTGCACTGCCTTTAGCCTCTTACATTCACCTCGTCTGAACTGCTCAAAGTAGAGGTCAGCTATCCCAGAATCATACATGTAACCAAATCAGAGATCATGAAATGATACAAGTTCATACAACCCCCTACTGTTCAGACATCTGTGGGAAATTACATTAGCCAACTGCTAAAAACACCAGCAATGAGCTTGTTTTGCCCAGGGGCTGATCATATAGCATAATAGATTGATTTCATAAGCCCTGTTGCATTTTGAGGATTTCTTGTGCAAAGTCCTCAGCTTAATTCTGAAACAGTAACGGTGAGTTACTAGTATCTTTATCCATCTGTTCTATGCTGAATATCTTCGTTGAAGGAAACACTGCTTTTTGCTGTTTCTTCTTCTCCTAACACATAGGGTCAATGACCTATACCAGATGTCTAGCTGTCACCATGGTAACTGGTGATGGTATTGGGTTACATTATGTAGCAAGTGGCAGGAAAAAATTGGAATGGCTGATCAACATATATATGAATGTGTTTGAGTTAGAACAAACAGAGCATTAGTTTGTTAGGCCAGGCCATGTAAAGGTTAACAGTACAGCATGCTTTTGCTTTGCAAATGTTTCCTTCCTTGGTAATTTGTACTTTTGTAAGAGTATACAGATGTTCTGGTGAGGGGACAGGGTGAACTTACCACACGTGTACTTTTCTCTCTCCTTGGGTTCCTCCATCTCCTCATACTCCACCTTCCTCCCTCCCCGCATCATGCACACCTTCTTCTGCTGCCCCCCTCCCGCTCCCGCTGCCTTCCTCTTCCCGCCTGGGCCCAGGCCCGGCGACTCCCGTGGTTTGTAGCTGCATATAGAAGACGGGAGGGCCGCCTGCTGCCTGCCGGGGCTGCACAGTTTGGACTGGCCTGTTCCTGTGA